ATATATATATATACATCTATGACATACAAATGCTTGTGTTTCTTCTTTTAATTTTTCTTTGTTTTCTTCTTCTCTCTTCTTTAATCTCCTCTCTTAATTTATTTTTATTTTAGACCCTTTCTTAATAACATTAATTGTTTCATGTCTTTGTTAATTATATCTGCATTGTCTTGTGTGTTCATCGGTTTATATTTTCTTTCTTTATAACTTAAAATTGTATTGTAATAAATACCCTATCCTTTTCTATATAATGTTAATATCTGATATTTGTTTATTATAATTCTTATAAGTCGTTGATCTTTGATGAATATGCATGCGCTAAACATTGCATGAAATTGTGTTAAAAGTATATCTTTTTAAAGTACTGCCATAGTTAAAGCACCTAATGCTGTTAACATTATCATATGCAGCATATCTCTTCGTTTTTCTCTTCTAGACCGCTGCAATTCGCTAGCAAGAATTTCTAACAATCCGACATGTAAGAAAGCACCTGCACCGACCCCCATTACTATACCTGTTATCATGCATTGATGCTGCTGCAGCAGGGGGCCCCCCTCTTGAGGCCCTCCCTCCGATGCTGAAGAAGCAGAGAAACAAATATATATATATATATATATAGAAACAAATATATATATATATATACATATATATATATGTAGATGAAGTTATTAGTACAAGCAGTATGATATACAGCAGCCGATACACCAGCAACCACACCAGCAACAACAGCAGTAGCAACGGCAACAGCAGCAGCAACAGCAGCAGCACCAACAGCAGCAGCAGCAACAGCAGCAACAGCAGCAGCAGCAGCAGCATACCATGTGCTCCTGCAGCAGCCGATCGCTGTAGCAGCAGCCCGACAGCGACGCCGAGAGGCGCAGTTAAGGCATAGAACAGCATTTGTATCAGATACCAGCTTTGCCCTAGACCAGCTGCAGCAGCAGCAACAGCAGCAGCAACACAAGCAGCAACACAAGCAGCAGCAGCAGCACACAACGACGTGGGGATCTCCAGCATATCCCTATTAGCAGCAGCGGCAGCACTAGCGGCAGCAGCCCTAGTAGCAGCAGCAGCACTCGCAGCATTAGCAGCATCATCACTCACAGCAGCAGCACTAGCAGCATTAGCAGCAACAGCACTAGCAGCATTAACAGCAGCAGCACCAGCAGCATTAACAGCAGGAGCAGCACTAGCAGCATTAACAGCAGCAGCACTAGCAGCATTAACAGCAGCAGCAGCAGCAGCAGCAGCAGCAGCGGGGGCGCATCTCACCATGTAGAAGGGAGCTTCCGACAGCAAATGCTTCGAGAGATTTATGCAGAATAATTGCAAGAGCAACACTTCTAGGGTTGAGAGCAGCACCGAGGGTAAGACCTTCAAGGACGGAGTGTACAGACAGCCCCGCCAGCAGCAAGCCGCCAGCAAGAGCAGATCGGCTTCTGTCTAAAGGCTCAACGCTGCAGCAATTCAAAGATGCACGCCTTGTTGAAGGGTGTAGCAGCAGCAGACGCTTACGCTGCTGCTGCTGCTCCCGCTCATCCTCCTGCTGCTGCTGCTGCTGCTGATGCTGCTGCTGATGCTGCGGGGGCAGCAAATCCTCTTCCCCGCCTCCCTCCTCCTCTAGAAGGGAATAGGGGCATATCAGACTAGGAGCATCAACACCCCTGCTGCTGCTGCTGCTGCTGCTGCTGCTGCTGCTGCGCGTGTCATTAGCAAGTACAGCACGCGCAGCAGCAGCAGCAGCAGCAGACGGTGCAGCTCCCCCTGCTACTCGTACTTTGTCTCTTGCAGCATGAGTCTCGCTACCGCAGCAGCGGGTGCTGGAGCAGGAAGGTGCAGCAGCAGCAGCAGCAGCAGCAGCACCATCCATCGGTATAGCAGAGAAGGGACCTACGTCTGCGTCAGCTGTCTCTAACCCTCCAGCAGAGAGCCTGTCGCAGCAGCAGCAGCCGTTGTTCTTTGCTGCAGCAGCAGCAGCACTTTGTCTTCGGCCATCCCACTGCCGATCTGCTGCTTCTGCTGCTCCCGCTGCTGCAGCTTCTGCTGCTGGTGCTGCTGCTGCTACATACAAAGGCTGGTGTGCAGCAGCAGCCGAGACAGAGCCTCGCTCTTTGCTGCTGGTTGCTGAGTCAAGGGGTGATGCACCACCGCAGTCTCCTTCTAACTGCTGCTGCTGCTGCTGCTGCTGCAGCTGCAGCTGTTCTACAGCAGCTTCAAGAGCAGCAGAGACAAGCAACCCTGCTAAGCAGCACAGAGACGCCACAGGGCGCCGGGGGCCCCCAGAGGGGCCCCCATTGCTGTTGGGGGGCCCTAAAGCCACTGAAAGCTGATGTTCTGCTGCTGGCAGCAGGTGCAGCAGCGCAACAGCAGCAACAACACCGGCTGTATATACAGTTGCTGCTCTCACCAAGAAAGGAGAAGCCCCAAAGCAGCAAGCAGTAGCAGCAGCACCGTAATTACTGCTGCAGCACGAAGGCACTATCGTGCATCTGCTGCTGCCGCTGCTGAATCTGCTGCTGTTCCCGTTACTGCTGCCCCCGGACTGCTGCTGCTGCTGCTGCTGCTGCTGCTGTCGCCGACGCAGCAGCACGAACCCTGGAGCAGCCCCCAAGACAGCAGCAAAGAAAATAACTGCAGCAGCAGTTACCTTTGTACATACACTGCAAACAATAACACACAAACCTTAAATGCTATTAAAACCCCAGCAGCAAAACGAGCAGCAGCAGCAGCAGCAGCAGCAGCAGCAGTAGCAGAAAATCGCAGCAACAGCAGCAGCACAAAATCACTCGCAGCAGAGACAGAGAAGGCAGCAAGAACAGCAACAACAGCAACAGCAGCAACAGCAGCAGCAGCAGCAGCAACAGCAGCAACAGCAGCAGCAGCGTAGGCCTCACTCTCCACGTTTATCGTTTTGCTGTCTCTCTTCATCGGTCTCCCCCCAAAAGGACTCCTGCGTTTTGCTGCTGGTGTTTGTAGTCTCCTCTGCCGGCGCTGCAGCAGCGGCAGCAGCAGCAGCAACAGCATGTAAGCTCAGAAGCAGCAGCAAGGAAGAGAAAGTGTAAGCTAGGTTGTAGGCCCTGTATAAACGCAGCAGTGTACGGGGGACATACACCCCAGGGGGCCCCACACTCTGTGCCATAGGCAGCGTTTAGCTGTCTGCTGCAGCAGCTAGCAGCAACAAATATATATACTTCTACTTGTTTATAAGCCTGCACAGATTTGCTGCTGCAGTGGGTTTAGGGTTTTGCTTGTTCTATAATGTGCTGGGGTGTACAGACAGACACATAAAGCAACAAGCCCCAATGTTAAAGGCCTTTTCTTGATATGTTTAAAGGGATAAAGAAGTGAAGACATCTAAAAAGTAAATATTTTTTTCATTGCATGCATTAATATATAATTGTTATGCATTCTACTTGCCGAGGAGCCAGGCAGAGAGAAGAAAGAAAGGATGCTCTGCTCTTGCAAATAAGAAAGGAGAGATCTAAAGTAATATCTTCTTATATTCTGCAACGAAATGAGAAAAAAGTATGTTTATTTATGCGGCACTCTTCAGGTGTACAGACAGCTGAAGAGCAGCAGCACGGAGATGAAGGATCCTCGCAGTATTATTTCTCTTTTTCGATTTATTTATGAATAATAATTAATAAAAATAAATTAATTAATCAAAACCTTCCCTACTCTTTCTGCATGCTGCACGCAAACAAACAAACGTTATATCTACTATAGAAAAGGGCGGGGGCCCCCCTACGAGTTGCTGAGGGGGGCCCCACGGGGGTATTGAGTGTATACTATATTAAAGTGTTTAAGGAGACCAGTGGTTAATGTTGAGGAGACCATTGGTTATTATATTTTATTTCTTTATTTTTAAAACAATTCTAATACTCTAAAGCTCAGTCTTCTACTATTTTTCCTGTCTCCTCTTATAAGACTACCCTATTCATACAAACTCTATAGACTAAGGGCAATTACTTATGAAGACACTGCGGTGTACGTACAGCTAAAAGCCCCAAAGTGTAGACCTCTGCATGCATGTCTACATAGCCCTGACACCCCCAAGTAACAAAGAATATTATTATTAAGAGGCCTTCAACTATTAGTTATACCGAAGCCAAGACAAGGAGGTACTTCGATGCTAGTAAAGGAGACGTGTAATGTGCATAAGAGACGAGAGCAAAGACACAGATATTTAACTTTATGAAGACAGCAAGCTGTCTCCTTTGAAGTCTACGAGCATCAATATCTCTGAGGCTTTCTCAAGGAGACGACGGGGAGCCCAGGAAGAGAGAGGTGCAGCACTTCTTGCTGCAGCACCTACTGCAGGGCATCCGAGCAAGCAAACAGATTAAAAAGAAGTATTTTCTTCAAGCTCTAACACCGTAATCACTTGTCCTACATTTACTTAGCCCTCATCAATCACGCTGCATGCATACAAGCAGACATGCATGCAACAGCATCAGACAGGGCATCGTCTTTGTGGCTGCCCTCCAAGAGGACAGGGGGAAGAGACAAGTAGAAGAAAATGAGAGCTCGAGACAACTGAAAGATGAGAAAGAACAGAAAGCTGATGCTGCTCTCATTGCTGCTGCTGCTGCAGCTGCTGTTGTTGTTACTGCTGCTGCTGCCGTTGCTGCTGCTGTTGTTACTGCTGCTGCTGCTGGTGGTGTCGATAGCACGGCTCTTCTACAGCAGGATCCTGTTGCTGCTCGCTGCTGTACTCTATTGAGTGGGCAGAGGCTGAGTGCCGCCTTCTCCTTCGACCCCTCCGACTTAACTTAGACAAAAGATAGACAAAAGAATGCATCAATACGGTGCTGCTGCACATCTTTAGATAGCACAAGAGGCTGAGGGCCCCCCCAACCCCTCTTAGGCCCCTCACCTCTCAGATAATTGCAAGAAGGGGGAGCCGATGATATCATAGAGGCGAAATATATAATGGCTGAGGGCACGTATATGTGAAGATAGGAGGCATTTCTGTGCAGCAAATCTCAACAAAGTTTGTACGCATATGTGGTGTAGTCGAATCAACGTTGCTACATCAAAGAGGTTTTATAGATTGCACTGAAGATTTATTTTATTGTGCAAACGATAATTATACACGTACTCCGGGTGTCTGTCTCCTATATATATATATATATAATGCTATTGTTTCTGTTTGAATGTCTACCCACTGTTATTTCTTTGTAGTCTTACTATTCTCTCAATTACGCAGAGTAATGAATAACAATAACCCCTAGAATGCAGCTCCTTCTCATTGATAATGCCTTTTAAGAAGACATTCCATAAGTAATCAATATGCATGCGAGATAATACTCTTTCTGTTATAAGAAAGGAAGCAGGGCAAAGAATGCTTCAATAAGACCGTCAGTGTTTTCGCAGCCTCTACCTGATTATACACCCCAATGAAATCCATTGAGATATCTGTTTTTCATTAATTAAAGCCCAAGTAAATGTTATGAATTATATACCTGTCGGTATACAAGAGTCTTAAAGGCATGCATGCAGTGTACACTGCTTTACAAGTATAACTTTACAAGTATACAAAGGGAGTACAATCTTTTGCGGATATGTTTCCGGGGATCTGTACAGACGCGTTAATGCATTTAAATAATAAAATTTAACTGAATACCCCGACCTCAAGCCCCTAAAGTTTGTCGCCCGCCGCATACTTCGAAATATCCTCAAGGCGAGGCATCTTTTTTATGAATTGTTTGAATTGTTTTCAAGAGAAAGAAGCATCTTTAAATGCCGATGGATTTCTGTTTATTCTGCCCATCGTTAAGAGCATTTAAAACTTCTTCTCTGTTCTCTATAATGCGTCTTACCCTCTCATCCTTTTGTTTGGAGTTTGCTGCTCTCCCCTACCCCTATTAACCATGGTGGGCAGCCAAGTGTATCATGAGCTGTCAACAGCTTAAGATATAGTCTCAAGATAAGAATTCTTATAGTGTAGCTGACCTCGCCCCCAGTCTCCAGGCCCTTGTGCTGCTGCTGCTGTCCTGATAGGGCCTATAGCTGGTGCGGAGAGGAGACAACATGCTGTTAGTTGCTATCCTCCTTGATGAACAAGAGAAATATGTCTAAGACAGCCCCGCATGCAATCATAGCCAAGTCAATTCCCCCCCTTTGCTGCATGCACTAACCCCATACAGGATTGTTATTCACACCCTGCACCCACGTAGAAATATGAAGCAGAACATAGCCGGTAGCCAGCGCTTGTTGTACCTAGCCCCAGCTAGCTGGAGCTATCCATAGCTAGCTCCGACAGCTCGCAGTTCAGCATATCCCTCACTGCTAGCTGTAAGAGCCGTACCTAGCTGAAGCTAGCCTATGCTAGCTACAACTAGCAGTAGCTAGCTGTAGCCAGCTATAGCTAGCTATAACTAGCTGTAGCTAGCTGTAGCTAGCTGCAAATTTTGGCTTGTGATTTGTTACTCTGCGGGGTCGAACACTCCATCACAGGCCATGCGGAACTGCCAGTCAAGTTTAGCTGAGGAGTAGACGCCTATATCACTTTCGGGTATATGAAATTCAATAAGCTGTTCAAAAGGCTTCCCTGCGAGTGCACACAAAGCAAGGGGTCCGGTGTACATACACCTCAAAGAACCTCCCCATACACCTCAGCAAAGCGGAAGCCACAGACAACACCAACACTGAGGCTGCCCCTACACACTTAATAACGACGTTCTTCTAAACGAACTATAATATATGCATACACCCCAAAGGCCCCCTAAGTCTTAACTCAATGCCACCGCTGTAGAAGACAGCTTCGATACTTCTCTCAATTTGACATTCCATTCACTTCAGGGAAAAGCCAAGAAGAAACCCAGCAAAAGCAACAGCAACAGAGCCGGCAGCACGAGCAGCAGAAGCAGTAACAATGGCAGCAAGAGCAGCAGCAGCAGCAACAACACCGGAGGCAGGAGCAGGAGCAGCAGCAGCAGCAACAGCAGGTTGCACTCCCTACCGTTGTATGAAACCTGAATGGCTCTATATGTTTGATCTTGAGCTTCTCTTGTGGCTTCAGTCTGCCAAGGGAAGAGATAACCTGGGGGAGGCACGGGGTGTCTGCACAGCTCGACAGTAACGATACTGTTAGCAAGTTCATCAGAAATAAGAATAAGCGCTTCTTGTATTTTATCAATTATTGCATCTGCTTCATATTGCCCTTCTCTTGGTGTAGCCGTAGAAAAAGAAACATAAACTGTCTCGTCTGCTATAGGAAATAGATTTGGGTCTACCACAGCTGCTTTGATAAGGTTTGAGGTGTCTGTGATAGGCATTTCTTTTAAAGGTTTCAAAGGATCTTCAGTTGGCTTATAAGAAATCTCTCTAAATGCAATCAGGTGTACATGCAGCGGCCTGTCTGTCCATTGGGGCTTTGCTGCTGCAGATACACCTGAAGTAGAGACAACTGATCGATATGCCTCTGCTTTTTCTTCTGTTGTTACCAGAAGAATAACAGATAAATGCGGGGGAACTTCATCGCAGGAGACAGACTGCACGAGCACAAGACAAAAAAGAAAAACTTTACCCCTCCTTTTGTTTCTTTTGTCTTGTCTATCTTTCTTCTCTAACTTTTTTGTCTATGTCTGCGCCTAGAAGTAAACAATGTAACTCTTTTAAAACTCTTCGCCTCCTTCTCTGCAGTTTATCTGCTTATGACTGCCTGTATGATGTCTCTTTTGCTGTCTCTGGTGTCTCTTCACTGTGCTCTAGGGTCTCTTAACTCCCTATTAAATTATTCTTTTTGTAGGGTAGGCGAGAGAAGAGACAGAAAGATACACTCGAAGGCATATAAAGCCCCACTTATAAGCAGCAGGCGGCAGCAGAGACAGCAATAATAAAGAAATAAAAAATATAGAAGACGCATGCAGACACAATTGATAAAGCAGACACTTAAATCTACGGTCAGCCTCATTTACTTGTCTCCATTCTATTGCAGGCTGAAGCGCCTTCATAACTTCTATGTTTTTGTAGCTGCAGCAGCAAGCACAGCCACATCGAAGCAGCAGCAAAAGCTTTTTGTCTCTTCTTCTATTTCCCTGTCTCTTACAAAGAAAGAGCTGCAACGCCTTACTCTCCCTCCTATGTGTCTCTTCTGCTGTTGCCGATTCTTTTGCTGCTTCTTCTGCTGCTGCTGTTCCTGATGCGGCCTCTGCTGCTGCTGCTGCTGCTGCTGCTGCTGTTTCTGATGCTGTTTCTGCTGCTGCTGCTTTAGGGAGCGTGCTGATTAAACGTGTGAGTAAAAGCAACAAGAGGAGTCGATAGGCAAACAGCAACAAAAAGAGTAAATAAACAGAAATAAAGCAGAAGAGTATATAGACAGACAACAAAAAAAGTAGATAGTCAGAAATAAAGAAGAAGAGTATATAGACAGACAGCAACAAGAGGAGTAAATAGTCAGAAATAAACAAAAAGAGGATTCAGATAGAAAACAACAAGAGGAGTAGATAGGTAGAAATAAAGAAGAAGATGAGGAGAGAGAGAGCAGCAGGAAGTGCAGTAAATAGACAGAAATAAACAAGTAGAGCAGCTAGACAGAACCAAAGACGAAGAGTAAATAGAAGAAGAAGGGGATAGAGAGAGAAGACTGACAAAGCGAAGTATAGATAGATATAAAAGAAGAAAGAAGAAGACATTTATCTTACTCTTCAGGAAGTGTTTGTGTTGATGTCTTAGGATCTGCAGAACCCCACTGATAAACACCTCCTTGCCTCCAGTCGTGCCCATAGCATTGCATGCCGGGAATATTACAAGTAGATTTATTAGATGAATATAAATTATTGAATCCCCATTCAGAAATCATCATTGCTGCTTCAGCTCCTAATGCATTATCTATAATGATATCTACTACAATACGTAAAGATATATCAGCACCATTCGGGTGTATAGACACCGAAGAAACTAGCGGATTTCTTTGCTCTGCTGCATGCGATAAACTACGGGGACCGATACGTCTCCCTAATCTTCGACGATGAGGAAAAGCAAAATGTACAGAAGCAGCTGCTAGTCTAGGGTGTCTAGGCAGGTACTTTGGATGAAAACTGGGGTTAGCTTGCGCTGGAGTAAACTTCACTCTATTCTTTTTTAAAGAACAAGAAGAAGCAGAAGCAGAAGCAGCAGCAGGAGCAGAAGAAGAAGCAGAAGAAGAAAGAGAAGAAGAGTGCTGCTGCTGCTGCTGCTGCTGCTGCTGCTGCTGCTGCCTTTGGGGGCCCCCGCTGCAAGAACGAGATGCAGATGCTGATAAAGACTGTTTGGACTTAGGAGAGATTTCTTCATCAGAGAAAGAAGAAACAAAAAAAGAATTGTCTTTACTTCTTAAACCTAACTGCAAAGCAGAGGCAGTCATAGATATAGAGTTAGGGGCTGTAGGCCTGCAAAGAAAAACAAGCAAATAAATTACAATAAAAGAGATACAAATAAATAATAAAATATATCTGTGATCTGTGGGAGAAAGAAAAAGATATTCAGGGGTGCGCTTAAAGCAAAAACAGAAAAAACAAAAAACAAAATAAATATACAAAATATATGAACATAAATAGAAGCAAAATTAGATAGATTAACATCAATATGTTTATTTTTATATTCTATTTGTAACATAAACATATTAAAACGAAGAAACAGCAAAAGAAAGGAAAAGATAAATAAAAAATAAAAAGGATTTATAAGAAGACACCGCAAATAAATATACAGTTGTTATTATGCATGCATCTTTATTGTCTTTGTTTTTTTCTGCTGCGTTTCTAGCTGCCGTTATTATATCTATCAAAATTATTATTCTTGTTGCTGTTTCTTCTCTCGTGTTGTGGCTGCTGCTGCCCCAAGTGCCCCTGCTGCTGCTGCTGCTGCTGCTGCTGCTGCTGCTGCTGCAGTTTGTATTGTTGCACCTCTTAATAGTAACGGAGCTGAGATAGTCTTTGTCTTGCAAACCGTCTTTTTGAGGAATTTCAAAAGAAAGCGGCTCTGGTTCTTCTGGAAGAGAAGATAAGGGTTCTGCAGG